AGGTGACATCATCATATTTATATATGTGTATATATATATATATATATGTATATATATATAATAGGCCAGCTCTGTGGTTGATAAAATGAAAATGATACCACTGGCCCAGTGTGGAGAATACCAGGAAAGAACCGTCAAGCACACGAGGCTTTAGAGTGCCTGTGTTCGGGTTTCTTTACGACGGAGTCCCTGATGCTCCAGCATGTATGGAGATGGAAGGAAGGAGAGTGGTAGGAAGTAGAAGGCACCAGGCAGTGTCTGCATTCCGTTAACGCCCTGGTGCTTCATGTAAATAAAAGGCACTAACCTCAGTGTCTATGGACCTTCCAAGGCATGCATGTCCCTTACAGCATAATGTGTGAGCAGTGCAAACTAGGCAAATGGAGCCAGCAGTTCTCCCTTGCAAAGGAACGTCTTCAAGCCACTATTGGTACAACTACTATCTCTTGAGCCATCCTACAAAATAGAAGTTTTAAATAGAAATAGAGATCAGCACATCTTTGAAAAGCATTAAAGTGGATTTCTTCACAGAGTTGTATCAGACTGAAGTTCAGTGACATTGCTTTGTTAGTAGCTCTTAAATTGAAATAATTAACAGCTTGCCAGTGCTTGAGTTCTGTAAAATAATGACTTCAGAAGATATCACTGACTTCGGAGATTCCTTAATTGGCTAAATCCTCAAAAGCTTAGCTAGCCTGTGAGCAAATTATTAAAATGGAAATCCTCACTTTGGATTTAGCTAGTTAAGATGTTCAAGTGGCTGCAGCCTGCTTAGGTGGTATCACAGTAGATAGTGTATCTAATTGGAGAGTACAATTAGAGCACAAACATTTTCTTTCTTTCTTTTTCCTTTCACGGTTTTATTTATTTTTAAATCATTTTATTGGGGGCTCATACAACTCTTATCACAATCCATGCATACATCAATTGTGTAAAGCACATTTGTACATTCGTTGCCCTCATCATGCTCGAAACATTTGCTCTCTCCACTTAAGCCCTTGGCATCAGCTCCTCATTTTTCCCCTCCTTTCCCGCCCCCTCTCATGAACCCTTGATAATTTATAAATTATTATTTTGTCACAGCTTGTACTGTCCGACATCTCCCTTTACCCCCACTTTTCTGTTGCCTGTTCCCCAGGGAGGAGGATACATGTAGATCCTTGTGATCGGTTCCCGCTTTCCACCCCACCCTCCCAGTATCGCCACTCTTACCACTGTTCCTAAAGGGATCATCCGTCCTGGATACCCTGTGTTTCCAGTTCCTATCTGTACCATGTACATTCTCTGGTCTAGCCAGATTTGTAAGGTAGAATTGAGATAATGATAGTGGGGGCAGGGGGAAAGGAAGCATTTAGGAACTAGAGGAAAGTTGTATGTTTCGTTGCCACACTGCACCCTGACTGGCTTGTTTGCTCCCCGCAACCCTTCTGTAAGGGAATGTTCAGTTGCCTACAGATGGGCTTTGGGTCCCCACTCTATACTCCCCCCTCATTCACAATTGTGTTAGACAGAGTTCTATAGAGAGACAAAACCAGATCGCTAATAATTTTCTATATATATTTATACAGATAGATATATAACACAAGAAATTAACAGTTATATTGTAAAGCAGTACAAATGGCTCAGTGCAACTCACTCCCGTGAGACAGTTGTGAGACACTGGCAGTCCTTCAAGTCTTGAGGGC